GGGGGGGAGTCGGGCTGCACTCGGGGTGGCATTGCTGGGAGCAGGGCTGCGGAAGAGGGGGGGGTGCAGCCACCCCAAAATTTGCTGTAGCCCACCCCCCCTCCAAACTCCCTCCCAGCCAATTCTGTCAATTTTCCTTATATTGGTGCTGATCTAGTATGGGACCAATGTATTGCTGCACCTCTAGCAAGGAGCTGTCAGCTCTGGTTATTTATATCAAAAGCTCTTGTTGCCTGTTAAACATGGTTTAAACACAGTTGGCAGTATGAGTCAAGCACTTAGACTGTTCAGGACTAGGTACAGAGGCAACACTTTATTGGACTAAGTCTCAGAGCCAGATCTTCCACCCCAACCTGGGACTGGTATTGGAGCAGGGCTGACCATTGAATACCCCTGTAGTCTTTACACAGGGGAATCTTCTCGTTCAAAGATCTCTTCTTTTCCCACAGCAGAGGAAAGAAACTACAGTGGAGTCTTATCTTACACTGGGGTTAGGTTCTAAAGTCGGCGCATAAGGCGAAAACAGCATATAGTCAAAATTACCCTTGGGCTTGCCCAGTGGTACAGTTCGCTCCCTCCCCCATCCAGTGGTACAGTCCCTCCTTCCCACCCAGGGCAGCCTGCACCAAACTCCTGCCCCATCAGCATGCACAGCTTCCCAGCAGGGCTGCTCCCAATGTAGCTGCTTGGCCCCATGCACAGCGCTGCAGGGGGCAGCTGCAGGCTGAATCCACACAATCAGCACTCCGGGGCATACGCATATGATGAATTCGCGTAAGTTAAATGTGCATATGATGCGACTCCACTGTACCTACTTTTGGGGGGAGGGGAGAGTATGTCCTCTCCAGGTGATGTCTTCAGTCATTAACAAGCAGGAATAGATTCATGACACCATGGTCCAACAGTAGCCAGGAAAAATATCATACCGTATATTATCACCTCTAGGTTGGCTTTTGCTGTACCTTGCTTGGCTTTCCTGGACTGTATGAGGCAAACCGGGGAATGTTCTGGATTTCTTCCTCTGAGAGACGGTTCTTCTGGATCTCCTCTTCTGGAATGAAATCCACACACTCCTTTATAGCCATGGGGCTTGGGGTGGGCTGTTGGGCTTCAGATTCCACAGGATTTGGTGCAGGGAGGCTGGGATCTCCATCATGTTCTATCTTCTTTTCCTGATTGGAAAGTAGCCTTGTTTCTTTATTCACAGGTCCAGTTAGGGCCAGGGAGCAAGGCCAGCATGGATCACCCTTTACAGATGGGCATTCTTCAGGTAACTGCTTGCTTAGCATCTCTTGATAAACAGTCTCCAAGTTACCCATTGGGTCCTTCTCACTTGCCAGCCTCTTCTGAGCTTCATCTGATCCACAGTAAAGAAACACAGTGAAAGAACAATTATGTATATCACAGGGAAGCAAAGAGTTGGAACTTTGGTCCCAAGGGCAGGGAAATGCTTATTTGGGCAACTCCATTCAGCCTTAAGCAGGAAGAAGTGCACAGGACTGGGATTCAAGAGACCAGGGCTCCATTGCCTGACCTGGGTAGGTGACCCTAGGTAAGTCACTTCCCCTCTATGTTCTTCCATATTCCTCCGACATTTGTTCCTCTTCAGATTGCCAGCAATTTGGGGCAAGGACTGCCTCTTAGTAAGTACATGAACATGGCCTAGCAGCCCTAATTCTAAATGAAGTCTCTGGGCACTCCAATAATATCAATAGTTAATGGTAAAATGGAGTGTACATACTGCTATTAAATGTATCAGGCTGAGGTCTGCCTCCAAGTTATCCTCTGCCACCACAGTGAGATTCAGAGAGTATTAATAGAGCAGCACTTGATCTTCCAGGGAAGGCATTTCTTAATGAGACCTATTGCTCATATGTTAAACTGTTTGGAGAGCCCACCCTTGAAGGGTTTTGTTCACACAAAAAGCCCTTGGCAAGAGGAAAGAATGCCTTCTATGCTGCAGGAACTGAATGATTTCACCAGAGGGAACAGGCAAGGAAGAAACACCTGTGGCTGTCCCAGATATGCATTTCTAGGAATGCCAACTCCTGCAAACTCGGGTGCCCAATGAGTCACTCCTAGCCTGCTAAGGAGGCCAGGGGAGCTCACGTACCTTGGTGATAGAGTGCCCTCAGGAAGGAATGACGGTCTGTCCCCTGGAAGAGTGCATTCTCAATCTCCATCTCCCGCCGGCTCAGCTGTTTGCTGCCAGCAAATCTCTGTGGCAGGGAGAGGATGTGCTGGCGTTCTGTGATCTTCTCCTGGATGGCCTGCAGCCGATGCTGCATGGCCTCGGGGGCTGCCCCCAAACCAGAGCCCTGAAACAGAGCAGTGACTGTGCTTAGATAGAATGCCCACCCCACGCACTTGTAGCAGGGCAATGCTAGAATTCAGACTCCACATCATTTCAGCACCAGTGGTTGTCCCCAACCAGAGAGTTGTGTCTAGAGAGCTTCTATCCTCACTGAGTGAACACTCTGATGCAGGAAGACAGGAACCCAGAATCTTTATGTGAGAGGGGGGTAAGCAGCTCATTCTCTCCTGATCTTCTGGTTCGTTTGCTTTGCTGCTTTCTTTCTTGTCTTCATAATCCCAAGTTTCCTATGTTTGATAGCTTATTTTTTAAAAATCCTGGGTTGGACTTCATTTTTACACTTCCCTGTCAAAAGAGTCTTTGCATCACCACCTCACGTCTATATGAAGCTTCTATCTCTACTGGATGTCAACCCCCAGTATCAGTAGCCAATCCTTAGCTTCTTGAAGTGGGAAGAGGATTGGGACTCCTTTTTGGATCCTGAGATGGAGTGTTTAAGATTCACCGCATCAAGTGTCATCTCAATTACCTAGGACTGGAATTGGACCAGGGCAGGAGATAAATCAGTGATTTGCTCAAAAGAACCATATCACACTTCCAAAAGTCCTTTAAGTCCTTAGTTCCTTTAACTAGGTAAATCCAGGCTCTGCTCCTGTTCTCCACTTTTTTTGTGAACATGGCTGTATGGATGATTGATCCCATGCAGCAGTTGTTCCTTGGCAGTACTTAAGACACCTCAAAAACTGCAGTGTTACTGGTTATTGTTAGCGTGCTCAGCAGTGCTTGGGTGCTAGGCCCCAGTAAGCCCCAGATGGCTTTCACCCCTGAGTCCCTGCCCCTGCCAGTACAGCTCTTTCCTCACCTTCTCTGCTGAAGCCTGGTTCTTCCATAGTAGGATCTCTGAGTCTGAGAGCCCCAGTTCCCGGAGAGAAGCTGTTTCTTTGTCATTCTCCTGCAGTGCCTGGAACTGTGATAAAGTTAGAGCACCTGCCGCCTCCTCTCCAAAGGGCTTGTAGAAAGCTGCAGGGGCAAAACATCGTCGCTTGGATTTGCACCTGTGAACCAAAGCAACAACAAAGCAAAAATTCCTTGCACCTTGGAAAAGAAACTCACGAGACAGGATGCTGGCCTGGATAGCTTGGACACGCACTGCCTAGGAGCAGCCCAATAAACACAGTTAAGAAGTTGTGCTTCTGCAGGTGCTATCATCAAATCTAGACACACTCCCTATTCTCCTACTAGATACTGTCTGACTGCAGGAAGCCTTGGAGTATGAAATACTGTCTATGTCAGTGGTGTTCAACTTCCAGCCAGTGAGGCCATGCCATTCATCTATGGGTCCCTCCACAAGTCTGAAAATGTGGCAGTGGGAGAGTGGTGGCTGTGTTAATTGCCTCTCCCGTGCTGCCACATTTCTGGACACATGGAGAGCCCTGTGGGCAGATGACATGGCCTACCATGCTAGACAGCCCGAGAGCCAGGGTTCACTCCAGAGCAAATCTCATGCATGTGGTCAGACCAGCATGCTGGGCTGGATCCAGCATGTGGGGCCGGGTCAGCATGCCAGACTACACCCCAAAATCAACCCCAAATACCAACCCCGCACCATTCATCCTGCCCACAGGGCTGGAACTTTGAGCACCACTGACCTGTCACCAGCAGCTGAAAAATCTAACTGCACCTTGGGTTTGCACTTGGAGAATGCTGGGAGCAACAACCACACTCCCAAGCTCACTGCCCGAGTGAGATGCTGCAAAAGCAGCTCCTGCTGTGAAAAGTCCCTAATTATTTCTGTTAGAAATTAAGCTGCACCACTATGCCCTCACCATTAGCATGATGCTTTGCTTCCATCCTCTGTAATCTGAGCATCCTCGATTCACTGGTACCCTTGTGCCAGCAGCAGTAGCCTATGTCTTCTGTCTTCTTTTGTATTTTGCCAGCCGGTTCAATACTTACTGTTCAATGGAGACAGTGGTGTCAAGCTGATGGTGAAGGAGGCTCTTCAGCTGCCTCTCTCCTTCCGTCTCCAAATCCTCCAGGAGGACATCATCAGCGGACAGACAGCTGTTGACCCTGGGGAATCAAAACCAATGCGGAGGTGGTCAGCAGAATACAAAAGAGGCTTCACTCCCTAATACACCAGTGTACTCTTTGTAGCACACTGATTGCCCTATCCTTTATTAGGACATTAAGAAGACAACCTGACACTGCACATGGGCTCTGAAGAACACGATGAAACAGACCAACCTGAACCATGGAGCTCCCACTAATACCAAGCAAAACGTTGCAGAGATCTGAGACTATTTTTCCAAAAAAAAAGAAAGAAAAAGAGATATCCCAAGAGTATATTTTTCATTCAAATGCAAGTTTTTATTTTTATTTCTATTTCCAGAAGACCTATTTTAAGAAATGGATCCTGCTTAGCTTCCAGTGACTTTCTGTAAAAAGAAACACAACATGAAGCCATGTTCTTTTCTGCCTTTCTAAGGCATGTCTTGTTCCATGTAGGTTACTTTCTACAGAGTAAAGAAGGAAATTAGCATTTACTATTTATGACCCTTTGATTCTATGTGTTCACACAAAGAGATAAGAATGGGGCTAGGAAGGAACATGTGACTTTAGTCTCAAGCTCCAGCTATATTTGTAGGAGGCACTGGATGATTCAGCTCACATGGGGAAGAGCAAAATAATTAGCAATGCCAGCTTTCTAAATCATTATCAACAGTCATACTTTGTTGTGACTATTGAGTTAGCTCACACTGTGCTTAAGACTGGTTTAGGCTGTCCATCGGTGAGAATCAAACATGGTTGTTTGGGCATGCAACCTCAAAAAGAGGACTTCCTAGGCCTCTCCCAGAAACTGTAGGGCAGGAAGGGCAGGGGATGGATCACTCTGGAAGAGCCCTGCATAAATACTCTTCTACTTCGCAACCACTCTGCTACTGCAAGATAAATACTGGGCTAGATGTGCCTCTGCTTTGACCTGATATGGAACTTCCTATGTTCTCCTAACTCAGTCACACAACCATGCACTAGCAACATATAGGCAAACAGCTCTGTAACAGGACAGCTTTCTTCACAACCAGAGCTGGAAAGTTTGTCCTTGGATCCTAAAAGAAAGCTTTGATTCTGTTTAACTATAGAGAAATGCTGGCAAGAGGAGCCCACTTAGACCAAGCTGCTTTGTGTTAACATGGAGATTTTAAAAAAGCTTTTCATTGGCTTCATCAGTAACAATGAGCCTGAACCTTGGTACTGAAAAGCAACTGCTAAGAACTCTTCCTGGAGAGCTTGCAGGCAGGAGAGACTGGCAAGTCCTTATCACCACATCAGCAGCATTTCAAAATGGCTCAGGACTTGGGGTAGCAGCATCTGACAGGGCATCCAAAGACAGGGACCAGACAGCTCGGGTGAATGCTGGGCCTTGTCTGTGTATCCCACCCTGGCCAACCCCCTTGCCAACACAGCCCAAACTCACTCTGGAGTGGGTGCAACTCTGTTAGGCCAGGGCTGTCAAATATATGCCCAGTCCTCCAAATCTGGCCCGTGGAGCCCCGTTATCTGGCCTGCTGTGCTACCCCGGCTCTGGAGCAGACCCACACGTAGCACCTCACACTGGGCCCAGCCCATCCGCAGCGGGCATCACAGACTCCCAGAGAAGTGGGGCTGGAGGGACCTAGTGCAGCCGCTGCCCGAGGCGGGCTGGTCCCTACCCAAACACCTATCCATGGGATGTGTGTCACGGCCCGATGGGGCAGGCACCACGCGGAGCGAGCGCTGGGCCTGGGTTGGCTCCACCGGCCCGTGCACAGGTCCAGAGGAGGCGGCAGCTCAGGGCCAGGCCGCTGGAGGGTAAGCTTCGTCCCCGCGCCAGGGCGGGACCTGTCTACCCCCCGTACTCCACTCCTGCTGGGCCGGGGCCGGGCGCTCCAGCAGCCCTTCTCCACGCCCCAAGGCCTGGGAGCGAGGGGCCGCGCAAACCCCCCCCCCGGAAGGCACGCTCACCTCCGCATGGCCGCCGGTAGTAGTGCGGAGCCCGCCCCGCCGTGCTGCCCAATGGCAGGAAGCGCCGAGCGCTACCGCAGCGAAGCGCCTTGGGGAGCGGGTGGGGAGGGGGTAGGCGGGCCTCGCCACCGCCCCGCCCCGCCCGAGCGGACTCAGGACACGCAGCTGAGGGGGCGCTGCAGGGCCGCGATCGCAGGCTCGGCTCCGTCTTCCGCAAGCCGACGCTCCCTTGGGACCAAGCCCCCCATCCCTTTCAAGCTCCCGGCGGCTCGGCCCTCACTTGTCCTTGGAAAGTCGTTTCAGTTACGACTTAAATTCCACCCTCCCCCACAAGCCCGGTTTGAAAAGAGCAGTCGGGTAACAGGCTTGGAGCCAGCCGCTGTTCCCATTGTCATCTGTCGGTGTGCTTAGCAGCTAAGAACCCAAGCCAGCTCTGCCCTGGGGTGTAGGTGCCTTACCAAAAGTGTTGGTGAGATGACAGTCTTCCCCTTGTCCACCTACCACATTACTGTAACTGAGATCAATGGTCTCCAAACTTTTTTGATCACACATCCCTATCAGTAAACAACTTTTGAGCACGTAGCCCCAGTATACGTATATTTCTTTATTTATAAATTATATACATGTACTACTCATGTACCAAACGTGACACGTGACCATCTGACATACGGACCGTGTGAAGGTGCCAGTGTCAATCTGTATATTAAATATTAGTAAAGCTTAATTTCTTTCTTATTTTTTTTGGATAAAAAATAAATATAAATAGTTCTAATATTTTCTTCCCATACCCCAATGGATTGTCTTGCGCACCCCCTGGGGTGTGTGGAGACCACCGACTTAGGCACTAAGTGAAGCAATGTAGCTACCTTAGCATTGAGCAACACCGGAGGCATGCTCTCCTCTTAGCTGGCAGAGGTGCTTATCAGCACCCTTTCAAGGCTGTTCCAATACAGAATATGGGCATGCAAGTGCTTTACAGCAGTGCTCCCACGTGCAACAGAGATACCCTAAGCATGGATGAGGAACAAAATGCATTCAGTGTGTTTGATGTTGTAAATTAAATGCTGACAATTAGATGTTGCCTCAGCTTTAGGAGTCTTGAGTTTTCCTAGCCCAATGAAGCTCAGCTGTTTCTCCCTGTGAAGCATTATTGCTATTTACCAGTTTCAGGCATAAAAAACCAGCTGCAGGAAGTTGGAGTCCATGCTGTATGCAAAAAAACTGAGCAGTTACTGCTCCTTACCAAGGGAAACTGAAAATAAAGCCTCCACACCATCCACAAATAAGTAGGCTCAACTCCCTAGCTGCTGCTACTCAGTTACTTACTACAAGGAACATTTTTTTCTTCATCCAGCCTTTCAAAACTAAGGTATCTACCTTATTCCAGGACCCACTATGCAAGAAAATGGCATTTGTGTCTTGATGCAAGTCTCATACATCTTCAGTGTAAGCAAGTTACCATATAAATTAGGATCAAGTTTCACTATCTGTATAATCAGTTTAAAGGGATGCAAGTTGTAGTCATGTTGGTCTAAGGACATAGGCAGACAAGGTTCTTTGGGTGAATCTGATATCTTATTAGACCAACTTAAATAGTTGGACAACAATTTTTAAGCGGGCTTTTAGGTTCAAAAACCCTTTGTCAGGCTAAGGAAGTTTCAGCAGTTGGTGTGTGCTCTTCCTGGATGGAATGAAAAGTAAAAAAGCCAGAGGCTGGGCTGGTATGCATATAAAGACAGGCAGTCAGTGAAAATGTAGACTGAGGGGTCAATGAGTGAGAGAGAGGCTGGGTGGGGAGGGGGATAAATAGTGGAGAAGTACCTGGGAAGTCAGCTGTCAGGCAGGTTATAAATGGGTCATAAATCCAATATCTGTATTTAGCCCATGATTTTTAGTATCCAGGAGGTTGATGAAGTGGACTTCTGAAGTCCAGAGCAGCTTCCCACGTGCTGCTGGGGATGGGAGGAGCCCGGCTGGGTCAGCACCAGCCAGAAGCCGTAGCGGAGCCATGTGCCGCTCAGGACTGACCCGTGCAGGCAGGGGGAAAGCAGCTGAGCTACTGCTGCTCCGGCCAGGCTTGTTCCATCCCGGGTGGCACACAGCTCTGCCACTGCTTCTGCTGGCCAGTACAGATGCGGCCAGGCTCCTCCCATCCCCAGCAGTACCTGGGAAGCCAACTTCAGCGGCATGCCGCTTTTCCTGGCTAGTGCAGACCTGGCTGGGTGCGTGCCATCCGGAGCAGCATGTGGCTGAAGCCAGCTTCCCAGGTGCTGCTGGGGACCGAGCAAGCCCAACTGGGTCAGTACTAGCCAGCAGAAGCAGTGGCGGAGCCTCCTCCCCTTGGGACCAGCTGGCATGGGTAGGGGGAAAAGTTCCGAGGGAGGTCTGATGCCCCTGAAACCCCACTGCTGGGGCAGGATGTTAGGGGGGTCACATCCCCTTGCTACCTGGTAAGTTGTGCAAGGGGAGGGACTTCCAGTGGCAAAGGTCAGGGTTCAGGACTTGCGGTCCTAAGATGGCAGCCAGGGGGTGGGGCAACTAAAGGGGCAGGGCTACCCGTGCAGCCCTAGACAGCTTGCCAAAACTCATCAAGCGGCCCTCCGCCCGAAATAATTGCCTGCCCCGATATAACTAGTTATGACCGTTTCTATAGTGCTATTTTACCCCATTTTTGGCATCACATTTCAGGGGTAAAAGCATATGAAGCCAAAACCATAACACACATCAAGGTAATCCTCAGGAATGGCATATCCAGTTTAGGAACACATTGGGTTATTAGCACACCTACCTTTGTCTCACATTTTGGAATAGTTCCTACAGGAAGATGATAACCCACCACTCTTTTGAATTGAGTATAATAGGGGATATTTGACATAAGTATATAAAAGGTCAGTCACTTGACTTCAAAGATTTTAAATCTTGTGACAACAGCAAACACAGAATAGATGCACAGGCTGTATGTACAAAGAACATAGAACTGGAGTGTAGATACTGCAAATTTCAATGAGATATCCATTAAGACAGATACTATGAACTACTGGAGGTTTGAAATGAAAAGTACTTTATTGTAATAAAGCAAGATGGTATCATAATATTCACTCTGACCCTCCAACCCCCACAAGTTTTTACATAATGATTATCAGACGAATATTCCAGCGGGAAGTTTTCTTGAATCGCTCAATCAAAAGTGATCCGAAAACTGCGTTCCTGCTCCTTGCGGCGACTTTCACATACCTTTGTCACCTCCTCCACCTTCCTCTGGAGCAGGGCTGTGGGCAAAGACACACAGGTGATCAACCTAGAAATGAACATCCCAAGATACAGCTCTGGGAAGCACAGGTATGCATCAGAGTGTCCCAGAAAGAGAATGAAGACTGAAGGTTAAGACAGGGTTCAGAAACAAGCAGGGGGGTGGAGTGGAAAGAAGAGATTTGCTGTATATTTAAATGAGTGGTGCTCAGTCTTTTGGCCCTGCAGGCTGATGAGTGGTGCAGGGCCAGTCTGCATGTTGGGATAGCTCCCCACATTGCCCCTGCACACCAGCACAGGGCCCCACACTAGCCTGCGTGCCCAAGCATGACTCCATGTGCTAGATATCTGGTCTGTAGGACTCCCCAAGGGGGCAGAATCTGGCAGCAGGGGAGCAGTGATACAGCAGTGATATTGCTCCCCTGCTGCCAAATTTTTGGACCTGTGGGGAGCCCTGCAGGCCAGATGACCAGGGGCTGGACCTGGCCCATGGTGTAGGTTGAGCCACCTGTTTTAAACTAGTTGTGGTTTTTTTAATTACAGTTTTACTAAACTAACACCAAAGCCCTCTTGAGTATAAGCAGCTATAACAGCACCAGAATTGGATAAATGCAGTTTTATTTTCAAGCAAAGATAACTCCATTCCCATCATAAACTATAACCAGCTTTGAATGATGGTCTACCATGCAAGTTATAAACTAAAACACTAACTGCAAATGATTAACAGCTCCATACACTGTAGGCATTACACTGAATGAGAAAAATCTTGGTGAAAGGCTAAAGTGACTCCTGAAGAATTATTCTTTATCATAAGCTGCACAATAGATCTGTAACAGCGTGGAGATATTTTAGATCTATTTAAGTTCTATACCAAATGTCTAGGATATGGTAGTAGACTCTTCCCCAAAATACATTAAGCAGGATGACTAAAATCTGTACTACATGTTTTATTCCCTTGTTCCGTCTTGTAAAAGAATAAATTGTGGGGGTTGCTTTATTTTTATAAATAAATTAAATTGAATGCCAGCAGACATGCACATTATGTTTAGAATAGAAAGCAGAAAGGTTCATATTAATTCCTTGATTTTTGAAGGAGTCCGAGTTTGTTCCAGGATTAAACAAAACCCCAGAAAAGCTCTCCTGGGTACAAGTGAGCTTTCCTCTTGCAGATCACATGATCAGAAGTAGTACAGGTATTAGAAGTACATGTAGTCACCATATTTTCAAGCATTGATAATTAGGCCAATTAAAATATAATTGTCCATATTCTACACAGGAGTGTGCTCCACCACCAGCTATACCTACTCACATCTGAACCTGCCTCCCCATTCTCCTCCCCAGCACCCCCCCCCGCCCCAGTTCATTATTAATTCATCTCCTAATAAAATTATTTGTGGTACTTGCAAGAGAAGATGAGAAACCAGACACACATATAACTGCACTTAAGATGTTTACCTCTGTGACAAGTGAATTGTTCTGATCAGTCCATTATCAGAGCCAATCATGTTTAGAAAGTCACTCTAACTTCATTCAGCAGTGAACAAAGAGATCAGTAAGAAGCTTCCCCTCATTCAAGCCATCCAATTCTTCTTCCTAAGTTTAGTTTAAACCTGATAGTTTGTTTGTCCATAATGTTTTAAGGCT